TCGGTATATTGTTTACTGATTGTTCGTCGGTATATTGTTTACTGATTGTTCCTAAGCATAATGTTTGTTGATTGTTCGTCGGTATATTGTTTACTGATTGTTCGTCGGTATATTGTTTACTGATTGTTCGTCGGTATATTGTTTACTGATTGTTCGTCGGCATATTGTTTACTGATTGTTCGTCGGTATATTGTTTACTGATTGTTCGTCGGTATATTGTTTACTGATTGTTCGTCGGTATATTGTTTACTGATTGTTCCTAAGCATAATGTTTGTTGATTGTTCGTCGGTATATTGTTTACTGATTGTTCGTCGGTATATTGTTTACTGATTGTTCGTCGGTATATTGTTTACTGATTGTTCGTCGGTATATTGTTTACTGATTGTTCCTAAGCATAATGTTTGTTGATTGTTCCTAAGCATAATGTTTGTTGATTGTTCGTCGGTATATTGTTTACTGATTGTTCCTAAGCATATTGTTTGTTGATTGTTCGTCGGTATATTGTTTGTTGATTTTTATTTCGTTGTTCCATGACAGATTGTTAGTTCGTTGACATTTTTTTGGTTTATTTTTGGTTGGCAAATTGTTAGGGTATATTTTCGCGGACAGGTGTTGGTTCGTTGGCGAATTGTTTAAACATGGTTTGCAATCGCATTGCTGTTTCATCAACTGTTGAAATATCGTTCGTTGTTTAGGTAACTACCAAGATCCTTTACACTTTGTTTTTATTTATTTTAAGTGTGTGCTGTTTTAAGATATCATATTTTCACAAATTAATAAAACTCGCATTCTGTCACAAAATTCTTTAATATGAAAAAACATGTTTTGGACAAATAATAATTCTCATTCTTTACCTTCGCGTAAATTCGATGTACATGTATTGTATTGAGATTCATTATTCTAATTTCTTTTTTTAACATCAATACCTAAAAATAAAAAAATGTAAAGGAAAATGTTAAAAGCAAGAATATAGTTTTTTGACTTTTAAATGCTAGTTAAAGCGAACTCTTATGTAAAATCCGAACAGGTTTATCGATGCACAAACAGCTTTAATTTTCTTTGTTCAAGTGTTAACGTCCGTGATTTTTACATTTGAATCGAGTAAGTTCATCGCCGTCCAAACTTGCCAGTAGTGTCCGGATAGTTTTGTTCGATGTTTACAAATTGATCGATGCATTGCTGTGTTTGGCACCACGCTTCGGCGCCATATTTTCTGTATATGCGTTTCTTGTTCTGGTTAAAGTCTGTTAGAAGGCGATAAAGAGAGTTTTGTTTTGGTGAAAGATGAAAGTTCTTTGTTTTCACTAAACCTGTCCCGACAAACCGCCTTTTGAAAAATGGAATCTTGATGTGCATTTCCTGGTTGCGCACTGGGAGTCTTATTGGAAGAGAAGGGACCTTTTTCAGTACATCTTTTTGAAGTTTATCATCTTTACTGCCAACTATGATACAGCCAATGGAGCTAATCCACATCGCAAACAAGACTACTGAAAAAATATAAACACACACACATATATATATATATATTGTATATGTCTTCAGTATCACATCCACAGTCGCTGTGTATATGATTCACGAATAACTATCGCAAGTGAACTATAGCTACTGTTTTACATTATTAGTTTTTTTTTAATTTGTCTCGAATCCCTAGAAATCCTATTAAAAGATAAATATGGCTAAAATAGTTTGTATGTACCGGTTTTGATATCCAATTTACCAATTTAACATAAAAACCATCAAATTTAAAATTGACAAAATGGTGAAAAAAGAGCACACGAAATGCTTACACCGAACATTTAAAGTGTATGTTGTAAAGATAATTAAATATCCCAATAAGCCCATTGCTCCGATGTCTCGAAACGATGTGGTTTTGGAGAAATATTTGCCTTAAGTCAATGGAAATTAGTATTTTTGCAGCAATATCGCTTAGTTTATACACATCTTTTATCGTTTTTAGATTTCCTAAAACATTAACTGAATCTAAATTATATGATTTTATAAGTTTAAATTTCCTTAAAACATTGACTATACAGCAATATAAAAGACACAACTGCTTTTTATGTAAAAACGGGTGTGAATATCGAATCAGTTGAATTGATAGCTACATGCAATTATGGATTGAAACTGTAATATAAGTAAAACTGCGATAAAGGTTGAGAATTATCATCGTAAAAATTGTATGTACATACCACTTAATTTCAGCATAGTGCTTGTATGCTCCATTCCACATGCCACGTCCAATCCGAAAACATGCCACTTTTGAACAAGGGGTAAATTACCGTAACTTATGTACATTTAAGGACAGAGACATTAAGTGGACGTTTATCTTTGTTGATTAACTCCCCTGTGATAGTTCCGGATAAGTAAGGGCTTATAGAGACAAACCCTTGATAGTTTACAATTTGTACTCAGGTGGGCGGACTGTTTATGGAACGAATTGCGTATATCGTGACGTTGCAAGGGTCTTACCACAGGAGATCATTTCGGGCTAGTTACAATAAATTTATCGGTAGCTACAACAAGACTTTAGATGAAATTACAACGGAAAGTCTGATATCATAGTTTGGATACATATAAGTTATCAACAAGCATATACCTCCCAAGAGGTGATCTGTCCGCGGGTCTAATCGCAACATTATATTGATATTTATGTTGAAGTAGATTAGAAACGCAAAGTCTGATATGTTATATAGCCAAACTCTGGTATGTTATAAAGCCGAACTATTTTCCATTTTCTGTTAGAAAGACTAACTATCATATGTTAGAAAGGCGAACTCTCATATATCATCAAGCCGAGCTCTCGTGCATATACACAAACAATAACATGATAATTCATAATGATGAAGTATATCTGATAATTACACCATATATTTAAATATATTTCAAGATGAAAAGAAGAATAAAAAGATATGTAGATAGAACTGTAACGAAGACAATAACGAAACGAAGTTTAAGTCAATAATCTGACCGCGTAGTTGTACGAGATAGATTAGAGTCTTCTCCTTGTTGAAATCATTTCCCTGACAAGCCTTTTTTATACCACCTAACAGTGACCAGGAGACGTTGAGCGAAGATAATCACGTTAAGGATCTCTATCACAACTTCAACATATGTAAAGGACACATACTCTTTGAATAGCAAAGTGTTTTATATACCATTACTCAGTCATAACGTTCTCTTTAACTTTCATAACACCCTCTAGTGTATTGTGACATCATTGAAGAGTGCTAGAAAGGTGAAGAAGAATGCAGTTATACTCATTAGTAGCGTGTATAAAGTATACAATAATTCACTGGTATCCTTTTAATATAATTATATAATGCTTGAACATAACATTTATCCGGTCGATGATTCCTATTTTCTGTAGGCAGTTGTAAATGTTTCAATATTCATATTAAATTTAGTGGTTTCTGTTCTTGTTTCCTTCGAGCAGACAATGTACTGACCCCTTGTTCGTTCTGGAGTTAAATGTTTATAAAGGATATTGATATGTAGTCGTATCATCCACTTTTTCTAGATCTTGAAATCACAATATCAACATAGAAACAGAAATAGTATGTCTTATGAAATCTTCGCTTGAGTATATTTTATATGTTACAGCATATAGCTTACCATATATTTAACAATTTATTAAATTGCTTTGTTTGGGTTTGCTAAAGTCGTTACCCTGATTTCTACATACACTTTATCTCCTTAGGTTAAATGATAAGTTCTAGAAGGACGAAGCTCGTGTATGATGTTGTATGTTGAATTAATTTGCGCGGTAAGAATTTCTGAATTTGTATAAAAGGTGTTATGTATTCAAGTGTGTTTTTTGTACAATCTTTGTTAGCGGCAAACACTGTTGGTGTAAATCATATCCCAGAAATTAATTGTAACAGCAAGTCACGTTTTATCATTCGATAATGATAGCACAGTTAGGAAAATAAACAATCACTCACTTGACGTCAGGAAAATAACGGAATACGTGGATTTTATTGAATTATGTGTGTAATCGCTCTCGTGCCAATTTCTTCTTGGATTATAATACCATGCTTATAACATATACCTAGTTTCGATTTGCATTCTACAAGCTTTCGACAAATTGAACGATTTGATAATGTTTCTTGTTAATATCTTCATACTAAAATAAGACTGAAACATTTATTTGTTTTCAAATAGCAATAGAACAAAATCTACATCAACGAAAATGTCCAGTTTATAACTGTATCCAATGTATTTGAAATGAATGTAAGATTCAGAAATCTTAAATGGCGATACTCTTGCTTTATATATCTCTGAGGGGATGTTACATGGCGACACCATGTATGTATATCGTTAGAATATAAACCTTGAAAGCCATCATTAAATCTTAACACAGAATTAGCCAGTGTACGTTATTACACCGATAGAAATATGAAAATGTATTGAAAGGTAATTCTGCAGTATTTCTTTTGTTTTATTTAGCTTATTCATTTGAATATCAAATGTATAAACGTTTATTTCAATCTTTTTTTTTTCTTTTTTTTTTTTTTTTGTATTCGAACAAAATAATTTGGCATGTTGTAATATGCAATGTGTTGTTTTTAATTGATTAGTTATCATAGCATTTCTAATGAAATAAACGGGAAAGTTTAACAAGGACATAAATAAATATGATGATTTTAATCTCTATTTCGATATCCACAGCATAAATCTACTACAAATCCTTAAACGTAAACAAATGTTTTTAAAGTGAATAAAGAATATTTAAATATCTGAAATAAAGGTCACTCACACAATAGTTTGATATGATTTCGAGAAAGGTACCCAAAAAATGATATTTAAAAGTTAATAAAGGGCGGAACGGATGAAGCATTCAAGGTCGGTGAAATAAACAGATGTAGAGTGATAAACTGGTCTGTCGACAAAGTATGATATACAGATAAGGAATAGATCGTGCTTCCTACACACGCTCTTGCTATCATATAACCTTCACTTTATACTGTTGTTAGTAGCAATCGTTTCTCATTCTCTAGCTATGTTGCTCAAAGTACTAATAGCTCTGTGCCTGGTTCTAGGTATGTATCGATATTAATTGTCTATCTGTTTGTCAATATGTCTGTCTGTCTGTCTGTCTGTCTTTCTTTCAGGCCGTCTGTCTTTCTGTTAATATGTCTGTCTGTCAATATCTCTGTTTTGACTAATGTTGTTAACTCTACAGCTGTTGTTGCGGAGCCGCCAGTAATTGGGTCCGAGCTTTGCCACTCCATAGAGTCAAAGGACTGCTCTGTGTATGAAGAGGAAGTTGTGTGCGGATCTGACTTCAAGACCTACAGAAACAGGTAATGCTGACGTTTGTATCACTGATGATATATGTAAGTCAGTGGCTAAATTCAAAATCCTATTAAACACGTGTTTTGATGTCATATTATCGTTCTGACCCACTTAAAACATAACCAATCCCAACATAATTGTGATCATTTATTCGTACTTTATCATTATACAAACATGAATCTACACGTGAAATGATAATGAAGAACCATTAAATTTTTGTCAATCCAAGTGAACAATGTCACGCTCCCTAATGAGAACAAGGTAACTGAACCAACACGCAAACCAACTAATGAGTGTCAAAAACGTCGAACTTCTTATCGAATAAGAAAATAGAGTACTTTTCGATAAGATCGGTATGGCGATTGTAAAGCTTCCCCAAAATCTTCATCAAATATTCATTTATATATATATTTATATGACGCCAGCTATTACGTTACAGTATGAAACATTCGCCAGAAATGCCGTGATCATTTAGTTATGTTTAATTCGATAACTGGGTATGACGACATCCAGAATGAAAAGGATTTTAAAGATACTCCATATTTTATAGAAATACGAGACTTAATTCTGAAGAATATTGTTACATTTTTATACTGCAACAAGGGAATATCACGAATAGAAGTAATATAGTCACCTTTTCATTTCTTGTAGCTGTGAATTTGCCAAGGGTATCTGTAGCCATCATGGTCATAGTCTTCACGCTGTACACTTTGGACCATGCCAGTAATTCTGGAATAAAATATTTGGCATGATTTTAAGACTTTCTGTTTTCATTCAAAGAGAATCTGTACTGTATTCTTGATTCTGTCATTTTCTATATAAATCAAAAGAAAAAACTTCAATTTTGCAGATTTGTTGTAACATTTCTTAATATCTCTAGTTCAAGTATCATCCAATTGCTTGACGTTACCAAATATGTGAATTGATCGGAATGAAAACATCAATTACGCATGGCATATTACTTAACCAACACAAGTATATTTGCGTTAAAATATTAACTTACAGTCTTTTATTCCAACCTACCACTTTAAAAAATCATGTAATGTTTGGTGATTTATCTACATTTACTTACTGAAACGGATTCAAGGGGTTTCGTTTCAATAGACACGCGCATTTATTGAGTTGCTTCCCTTTAGCTTTCAATAAGAAACAACTTTCACATACAATACTGTAAACATAGGTTATATATCGGGATAATAACGTAATAATATATTTTTAAGTCCTTGATTTCAAGTTTTACTAATAAGTTATTTAAAGTATATGTCTAAATTGTGCTGGCGTTTACAAAGTTTGTTCTAATGGAGGTCGTAAATACTACGACGAATAATCAAACACAAAGACAATTTTATTGAATTAATGTGTATTGGCAGTCTTCGAAGATACTAAAGTTTACTTAAGAAAAAAACAGAAACATTTCTTGATGTTTATCATTTTATATAATACGTGGATATTTTTTTTAAGTGTTCATTGTACGGAGAAGAACTACAGCTGACAGTGTCAATACCATATCATGCTTACACTCTGATTTACTGTCATACAGTGTCATGAGTGCCATTACAATAACATGCTTTACACCCTCATTTACTGTTATACAATACAATACAATATCAAAGAGACCGCTATACATTGTAAAATTGTAAATATCATTTACTATCAAAACATGCTATATCAACCAGGAGGACAATTTAATTGTAAAGATATCCAATTATATTTAGTTCTACCGACTTAATACGTTATATCTCTAAGATAAGAAAACATGCATCTTACTTTTTGTAGAGTATCGCAATTGAAGTCTCGAGAATAAAATTTACTTTCAAAATTTGCCCCGTATTTTAAAGCAAATGTCACACTGTACCAAGAGTATTGTTCAGTATTTTACGTTGTCATAGAGCCTGTCAGACACTTTAATTTTTTTTTCAAACAGGGATTGTTTAGTTCTACAAAGCGTAAAACTTATTCAAAAGAGTGTCATACAACATCAAATAGTAGCATAAGAATGATTAAATATATCACACGATCAGATCGACCACCGTATAGAGCGTAAACAGTATTGAGTGCTAAACAACATAGAACTTTTGCAGAGACTATCAAATGGTAGCATAAGTATAATTTATGTTATACAGTATCAAAAGTTATTTTTAAAACAAAAAATGTGTTATACTGCCTTACACAGCAGTATCTGAACTCTGAAAGTGTTTTACAGCACAATACTTTATCATAGATTGTCCTACATTGTCACCTTGCAGCAGAAGATAATTAAACTGTATGATAGTACCCTACCTTATCAGAGACATATACATTTTTACTTAATAACAGAAACATCATTCAATCCATTGTATCATAAATATCCTATCGAATATTTTCCATCTTAAACAATTCACTAACGACAATTAGGACCACAACGTTATAGTATCCAATAAACACGGTTACGTTCAATTACAATACTGAATAACTAAATACGTTTTGATATTTGCATATCTTCAATAAGGTATTTGAATAAATAACTGCATATCCTGTTCAATCAACACTTGACTTTACAACATTACCTCACAACCCATTTCACGACCATATTTGGTTAGGTTTGATGTCTATCACTTGAATGCATGTATTGATTTTTTTAGGAAATGTGCTATCCACACTATGACTCAAACATTTGTATATTTGTATACACCAGGTGTGTCGTCTGCTACCAAAAAATGACGTCACGAAAATCAGGTCGCGTGCGATTTATCGCCACCGGGTTTCACTATGCCCATGCGTAGTACCTAAGTTGACGTATGCTGAGTGCGGAATCTGTTTCGCTTGTCATCCTCAGAAATACCTGGACAATATTGGTGTAAACAAGGGGACAGTTTAAATAGTTCAAACAAGGATTATTGTTACTTACCTGCGAGACAGGTGCAAATATCCAATGGCGGGACGAAAGTTACCGTAAGTATATATGTATATACATTACGTATATTTGGATATGATTAAGTTTTAATCTCCTATATACAAGGGTCATCACATCTACACAGCTTTAGGTATCACCCGTCACTCAAGTAAAACTGGTTTAATTATATACATGTACTACATCCAAGGAGCGATTCCATTCTATTGTTGAAATGATACTTCTGTGGAGCACAGTAAATTGTTAATTGGATTTTATAGAACGTTGCTGAATGTTATGCTGATATTAATTGAACATTCATAAAAAAATATAGTAAAAAAGAAAACAGCAGATGATGGAAACATGATGAAAAACGCAATATAATATTTATCAGTCCCTTTGAGCGAATAATAGAACACCATAAATTATCAATTAACAATTAATTAATTATAGTATTCTTTTGATCAAAGCCTTAAAGTTTTCATTAAATTGTATCAGACCCATTACATACATTAAACCAAACCGTTCGGGGCCATCATATATATATGTATGTATGTCATATATGGTCATATACATAAGATCTTTAATACGCTTATTAGGTCATCGACCTTTTGTCGTGAATTTAAAACAGAGCTTTGAATATGAATACAGGCCCCAGCAACTCTTTTTTAGAATGTCTAATAGGTTATTCCCGAAGAGATTACATACAAATAAATAATCTAAAGTAAGTGTAATGGGTGGTCGCCTTAGATAAAAAGTAGTAAGGACGTGAAATCTGATTTAGGAAACAGATTGTGGATATGATTGTAATCTTAATTGTCATCATAAATGTTTCAAAATTAATGTGATGACTCAAATGGATGGGATTTGATTTCTACATATGTTTTATAAATAAGGGGCATTGATCATTGTAGGGATAACAGTAGGCGAGACATATGATAACAGAGCTACATGTCGATATATACACAGGCTATGTTTACACAACAAAACCAACATGTTTACGTGTGGGGCAGGTCCTATCCGCATCAAACGACCCTACATCATCTATAATCTGGTCTAGAACTTAATTCACACTTTCGACCGTGACATGAATAGACCTAAAGCACGGTTCACTGACAATGCCCATATACAGGTCACGTACACTGACAGGGACCATGATCCTAATCCATCCATTTGTCAGCTGTAATGTGTGTTGATACACCTCTTCAATGGCACTGAAACCAAAAGAATGTGCAGTGAAAATTTTGAATTAGTTAGATGTAGTACAAAGACTGATATTTTGCTTCAAATATTTCCGACATTAGCAAAGCATTATTTCATTATTTCAATAAAATGACGAATACCATGAAAATTGGTCTTCTGACAGAAATATTTAGTAACGTTCTTTCAGATTTGGAAAATTCGGAGAGAGGCGACTTTTTGTGTGTCGTTTTGAAACATTTGCACATTCATAAGTAAAACAATCCTAGAGATTTCTGATTAAGAACAGGCTAAATGTTTGTGATTAAGTACAGGCTAAATGTTTGTGATTAAGTACAGGCTAAATGTTTGTAATTAAGTACAGGCTAAATGTTTGTAATTAAGTACAGACTAAATGTTTGTGATTAAGTACAGGCTAAATGTTTGTGATTAAGTTCAGGCTAAATGTTTGTGATTAAGTACAGGCTAAATGTCTGTGATTAAGAACAGGCTAAATGTTTGTGATTAAGTACAGGCTAAATGTTTGTGATTAAGTACAGGCTAAATGTCTGTGATTAAGAACAGGCTATTGATAAGGGAAGAATGTTTGAAATAAGACTTGGACCAATTAAAAAGTGTACAAAACATAACCCGTGGGTGCAAACAAAAACGTGGTTATTGTTAATCAAAGTAATCTATAAATTCACACAAGTCACAAGAAAAAAACTTTGTCCTCTTCATATTTCTGTTTTAGGTTCATTAAGTTTTGCTTCGAATTTTTTGTAGAACTGTTGAAATATATCCCACTGTGGAGAAAAGACCACTAAGTTTGTAAACCGATGGACCTCATATCATTTACTCAACAAGGTCGCCTCAACAACGTGTCAAGGATATAAACAGATAGATAGATACATAAACGTGACAAATATCTTACCTAGATCGTCAGGTTCGTCCCACATTCTCTCTTACATAACTGGCATGTCACAATTGACGACAACCCCGGGGTTTTTACCTGATCAGTGATGAAAGTCTTGGTCAACACACTAGTTGCCCGTAATTCTCACCAATTAAACCCATTCACCCAGTGTTTATTACTTGTCGACAAGAAAACTATACACCGGTATTTTTTTTACCTGCTGATTATCAGTATTTTCTTCTTTACGACCGAGAAACAGCTGGTTTATAGTTGTCTCTGTGTTTGACATTCACTTTTAGCAGCATAGTTTTTATTTCAGACTATAAGCACTCTTTTCCTTTTTTGGAACAACACAATGAAATTGTGAACTATCTCCAAGGGCCAATCTGTTAAGGCACAGCATTTGATATTTCTCCATCATAGATGTAATGTTGTAGATAGCTAAATGTTGTATTTCGATAGCCATGCCTAGGGTTATGAATAAGTTAAATAGTAAAGCCATGATAGCATCATTGCTTTACATATATGATACTTGCGGACAAACAGTCTATGGTGTACCATAAACATTAATACTGGCTTTCTGACCAACTCATCCGTAAGGTTTTTCGATTAATGATCCACATGAACCACCATACCATGTAGTAATGAGCAATATATAGTAGTAGCCATGATCAAAATACATACATTTTTAAATGTCCTTTAAGATATAAAGAACTGGTTTTTCGGAATGGTAGGCGTATTCTTCTTCATAGACAGCAACCGTTATGTCAATTTAGGATAAAATCTAAATAACGTCATATTCTCAAATAGAGAACCAGTGAAATGGTAACGAAACTGTTTTCATACATCGGGGCACCAAAACAGTGACAATTTCAACATAATAAGAATTCAGTAAAACAACAGAATGTAACTTGTGTTAATCAGAACAAGATTGGAAGAATTGTTTTAAAATTGAAACAACTTATCTAGCTCCTAACACATGTCTAGCTTATCTAACTGCTAACACATTTTCAGGTTATTGGTGAGGTCATTAGGACAACACGTGACAAAAAAGACTTGTTTTAAGACAACGATCGCACCTTCATTCCTATTGGTTAAATTGCATTACGGCAGGGAGTTTTATCACGAATCATCATGTAACATTGCCATGTAATATATTTGTTATAAAACTAACTATTATTTAACGTTGTTTGAACACAGATATTTGCTCCCTGCTATCATGAATACTTTGCGATAATAGGATGTTTTCATGGCAATATATCGAGGAATGTAAGCCGATGGTTATGTAAGTTTTCTTCCGAGTTTTCAAATTTCGATTAAAGGTCGGACAAATTGAATGACCTATCAATCTATAAGATTAAATAAGCAGTAGCGAGATGGTGATTATAGTCCGTATCGAGCCAGGTGTGACTATAGGATCTATTCTAAGCACTATGTCATAAAAAAGAATCCTGCAGCGTTACTTCCGTATGTTCTACCTGAACTCCGTTTCTTGAAAGTCGCGTGGGAAAACCTTTAAATCCTGTATTGTTGTAGAGATAGTGTCGTGGTTCAGCGTCACCGTGTACTCAAATCAGCCCAGCATGTTGTGAAGGTAAACGGTCGAATAAAGTGATAGAGCGGGGCGGGTGTAATACAGTATAGCTTTACACTTGTTACATATCAAAACTATTTGGTGCACATAGTACTTGTCAAATCCAGCGACGAGGATCCTCGATCGATCTCAAGCTGTACTATTCAATTAGCTACTTAAACTCTTGGTATTACGTCAAACATCACCTTTTACTCGTCTAAGCTGAAATATTGTAGAACGGTTGGATGAAGTAAGAAAGTAGGGGCCTGTTACTGTTTGACATGGCTTAGTCAATGGTACGATCACTATTTGTAATTCACCTTGTGTGACTATCTCTAGACCTGAACAGTAACATCGACAAAAATCAACTCTTAAACTATTGATTCTGATCATCATATTACACTTGAAACTTTCTATCATTCCGAATAATATACTGTATACCGGAATATTTTCGCCCTTGGTTATTTTCACCTTTGTACCACTAAACACGAATTCGGCGAATGTCCATTTCTCCTTCTTAGGATTATATAAAGGGGTTATATAAGTGTAACAATTTTTTGCTTCTATCTTGTCTTCTCAATCTCTGAAGAAAAAATGACGAAAGTTAAACGAGGAAGAAAACTTCCCGGCTAGACATAAATTATATGTTACATACATCGTCAGAGTTTGTAATGAAATTAAGATGACTCTCAATGGTAAAAGTAAATCCAGATTTTATACTAGACCTCTACCTATATTCTTAAGATTATGCGACGGTTTGAAAAATCATATGCATGTAATACATGATAGAAAAATGCAATATCATCTTGATGTTAACAGATTGTTAAAACCGGAAATGCATCGTCTTTTGTGCTTGATAAAGTAGTTTATGTTACATGTAAATATTTCTTACATGCTAAGATTGATGATCGGGTTAGTTGTAGATTTGAATTAAAGAAAGACGAGCAGCATGACCTTGTGCATCTTTGCATATCTACCTGCCGCACGCATGTCCTGGTTTGTTACCCACTTATATCACTCATCACCTGGATAATATAAAGTTATACAAATCAATATATGTGATATGCAAAAGTTTAGTCGCATTGTGTGATGGGAAGCCGAGACAGTTAGTAATTTGTAGTTGTACCTGTAAGCTGACAATGCTTTCTTCACCTTCATTCTGATGAGATACCGCTTAGTGACATGTTCAATATGAATACGTAATAAGAATTTCAGAATTTTGCTGTTGGTTACGAGTCTCAATTATTTGTAATGCTGTCCTAAAGATGGCGCATGGTATTTTGTTTTCAAATAATAGGCCTTTGAATTGCTTAAATATTTCCATGTACTTTAAAGCCTTAGGAAGTGATCGGCCTTCAATAACCAAGGATCTGATGAAAATAAATCTTTGTACACGCAACATTTTTTCTCTAGTGGTTCCAGTGAAAATATATACCAAAATAGACTAAAAGTACAAAGATGCAGTTAATATACTTTTCACCATAACCATTTATTGACTCAAATCACAGGACGCCATGCCCCCACTGAAAAGCATTCTTGTTGTCAAGAGCGAAAAGGAGGTTATACTAGATTGGTTCTGCATAGTGGCCTTTTCAAATATCATGTTTCAAAAATACATCAATTTATTTGGATTCTAGAGGCAGACTTTCGACAAAGTAGAACAGGAAGACAGAAATCGTCGCTTAACAACAGTCAATGACACGTACGTTATAAGATAACTATGATCGTAATCACTCGGAGGGTCAAAACACAAATTATGTAACTATTAAATCTAGATTAGCATACGGCTATTAAATGTTGATTTAAGAATATAACTGATTTTTCCAAAACATGTTTAATTTATTACCATCATTTCATAAAACATAAGAATACATGCATAATTCAATATCGTTCCCCTTCTTGTGCCTCCGAAAAATTGTTTTTTGATCAATCATAGGCGCTTCCTGTTTTTGCCCAAATTAGCTCCGATACATCTCTGTTGTTATGTATGTACTTATCAACAGGTCATGTTTCCTGCATGACAGTCTTGTTGTATTACATATTCTTTGCTTATTTTGCTGGTATGATAGTATACAAATATGGTATGAAATCATAGTTTTAGTAAGTAATGCATCATGCAATTTGTATGTAATGAGTTTAAATATACTTTCCTGAGAGATATAATTGAAAAACAATTATTGTTTCAACAATGACTCAATGCTTGCACGGCTTCTATGTACTTTTCTGATAAACAAAAGGTTTATTCAAATACTACTTGAGCTTGTGTAGGTTACAGTTAAGTGTTTTACGAAGGAATGTAGCGTCAGTATGAAAGGGATGGAAACAATTTCATATATAACGGTAGCAGTAAACATTTCGGCAGTATATGTATGTATTGAATAAGACTTACCAGAAAGTCGAGAAGATCTGTGTTCAGAATTGTGTTTAAAACTACAAGATAAAAACATCAGGAAAAATTTTAATCATATCACTGTCAAACCAGTCAACATGGCCCCTCCTCCTTTGACGTAAGTAAATATACATTTATATATATATATATTTAATTTCGTCACTAAATGTTCATTTATCTAGATACACAATGCTTTTTAACCGCAAGCCACTGAGAGTTATTTCTTGTACTAGATATAAAGATGATGATAAACTGTTTATCTACACATAATTTATACTTTGGTCTCATTGGGAACATTCTTCTTACTTTGCCACATGAGATTGGATATTTTTGATGCTCGTAAATATGTCTAGTTGTTCCGTTATTGTTCATCAATGTCTGTTTTTCGAACGGGACATCACTTACTTGAATTACCAAAGATTTAAATGACGGATGTCTCCGACAAAGCAGAAGACGTATATCCTTCTAGAACACCTCATCCTCAATACTCCAGGAGTTACAGTCACTTTCACTCTCTGCACTCTTAAAACATTTCATGACAAAATTGAAGGTACAAGCGTAATTTGATAATTTGATTGATCTTAAAAGGGATTCAAGAGGAAAAAAACACAGACCAATACGCTCCTTTGAAGATCATAAATGAGAGACGCCCAACTTCAAAGCCAGTGCAAAATACCGTTATGCGACCATGAGATATATTGAGCATTACCCTTGGAGTGTCGATTATGAAGTGAGCATAAACCATGAATTCTCGAGAATGCGAACACCTGTTCTGATTCTCCTTGTTTTTATTCACGTATCTCGCTGTAAATACATCTTTTGTTTATATTTTGTCCGTTTTATCGAATTAAGTTCGAATTGAGATTCTGACCAGAACACATCAAAAGATTCTTAAATAAGTATAGTCACAAAAGGGATTTCTTTTCTCAAAATTAAATTAATTCTATATTTCTTTAATCAGATTCAACAACATCGTCTGAAAGTTACAATACGTCAAAAAATTTCAATAGATGTGTATTCCAAATAAATAAATCGTAAATGTCAATTTCAGCTATTTGAACAGTGATTATTAACATGTTACCTTGGCTATTACGTTTACCGATGAAGTGCTTAAAAATTAACGGTGTGTAAAACTAGATGAGGCATCAAGTATGTGAGTGAAAATATATTGAATATCACTTCAGCATTGTGTTATGTCGACTCTGATGACGATGACATTTCCTCTTTAATCATCCGAATCATACTGTAATCTGATATTATTTCCTTAATTCTCTCAAATAATTCTTATCATCTGGATTTCCTTTTTCAACTTTTCTAAATGTCTACGTAGTGTTTATGTTTTCAAAAGGTTTATATTCTGTTTTATTATCTCAAACTTTGAAAACCTTTTAACGCCATTTATTACGAAACTTCATGTAAAATTTTTTAATTCGAAGTCCCTAAAGCTGAACATGCAGATACCAATTCACCAGCTGATCCAGAGGACATGCGACCCTCGATTATAAATGACAACACTTATCAAAATCATCTTCATTTCAGATAACATCAAAATCACCAGACTATGAAAAATCTACATATTTGTGAGGCATTATTTATTCTGGTCCTCATAATGTGACATTGACATTTATGTCGAAAATGGGGTCAAAGTTATTAGACTAAGCTTTAAAGGTCAACAGCTTTAAGTTAAAGGCCATAGAATTATATTTGGTAGTAACATTAGATTGGAGTTATGTATTATGATACTTGTAAGTATTGTACGGTACAATTTTTCATTTCTTGTTCTCAAATTAGGTAACACTTACTATAATGATCATCTGTCCCCGCAACATCCTGGTCTAGATTGTTTTTTTAAACTGTCTTTGTTAATTTGTTTATGTGTTCAATTATTACACATTGGATAAGTCAACCATTAGATTATAATGCAATATCATAATTAATTAGCAATGTTTTTAATGATAGTTATCTATATTCTGTTCAGTACAATGCCTTTTACTAATTGTAATAGTTTTACTTGAATGTAAATATAGATACCGTTTTAAGTAATAATCATTTCGGTAGTTAACGGATCTCATATTGTCGAGATATGATTCTACGAAGAAGTTTTATTGAATTTATAACCTAAATACCTGAATGATTCACGTTATTATCATTTAAAATTTTATCCACGTGATATCATCTAGCTCAACCTAAAGCACGGCTTCAGTATCGTCCGTTATGCCAAAAATCAATATTGTAATGTAAGATTAATGCAATTCTTTGGAATATTCCTGAATGATAAGGGTTGGAGACCCATTGTAGAATAATAAAATAACGACATGTCTATGGATGCAAGAGAAAAATCGTTAGAGAATTGATTTCAGACTTCAGTGTACTAAGTCCACGTGCACTTTAAGAGTTGTATGTTTTAATGGTGGACGTACACAGAATGATTAATAACAGACTATATTCAGTGGATGGGGTGTCTTCAATGTTGCTCTCGAGCTGTACCAGAAACACAATCCTCATATATAACCAGGAGGGGCATACAGGGAAGTATCAAAATACATTTATTGAGAAATCCTTCATGTGAATATCCGATACATAATATCATACAGACATTCTATATTACAGTTAAAACAAAATTTAGAAAAATATCTTAAATGTAGCGTAGTTTGATAGGGAAGTCGACAAACAAATCATTGTGCAACAGCTTGCAATATATACCGTAAACGTCCTTCGTTTCACCTTCATGTGGTGGGGAGTATAATACTAGTTACTTAATATGTTTACTGTCGTTCTGAGTTTGATCACTTGTCTTAACCATGATAAATGCATAAAGTTAACAATGTCATGCACATGCGTCGTCATGACCGCTCTTCATACTCAAATTCCATAAACCACTCCATCCAATCTGGAAAAGTCTTTACAAGTCAATAAATTTGTCAGAAACGTTCAGCTTTCTCACATTCTCATGATGAAATCAGTTTCAAACTAAGATGTTAATTATTAAGGTTTCCCATAATCAGTCTCATTTTTTTCTTATAAACATTAATAGTAACTACATGGTAATGAATTAGCTAGCGTCTTAAAATATGTGTTGATCAAAACAAGCATTTAGTCGTTGATTTCAGATTTTAATATAAAATTTACATATAGTTTTTTTCATTACCTCTAACGGTGGAGACTGCAGACGTTATCGATACTTGATCAAAAGATCTCTATCGATTTGTGGTCGACAGCTGACGGCATTATGGGTGTGTGGGGTAACAAGATGCCTGTTAATGTTTACATATACAATGCTGACATTATACTATTGTTCTGTGTATTATTTCCTACGCTACACATACACAACATAAGTCTTAAAAATAAAGCGTCCATGTGAATGTACATTTTTACTACATTGCTCCGTACTATAAAGGGAATATATTTCCCCCTCGAGTTATATGATGTTAACACGGTGATAATAGACCTCCAATCTTTTTGACATTTATGTTTCTTACGTGCAAAGTGGACGAAATTTTAGTACTAACCAATCAATGATTTGGAGACATTCTATATGTATTCATAAGCTCCTCCCACATTACATATTAAAAACAGTATATAGTGTTGATAAATAATGATATCGTTTAGTAATTACAAAAACACTAAAACCAAATGACGTATGGAAATAACTACCTTTGTAAGGTAAATAAGGTTTCAAATAAAACAGAAGGGGAAAAGATTGACGTTGAAGTGTTTACTCTCGAGAGACTGATTTGGCGACTAATATTATAAAATCTTTTGTCATGGAAGTAATTAGATCATCTTTAACGAGGGGACTTGATGAATGAGGGTTACGCCAGACATGAAGTATGACTTGCTATATACAGTAAAATGTGGCATACTGGCTGCAAGAGGAATGACATTTACCAAATTTATTATCAGAACTTGCCGAATTAGACGACAGATTCGGACCAGAGTTTATTAACACTGAGGTCGATTTGATACTGTTCACATGCTTCAATGGCAGGTCACAACATTCCAAAGGTGTATTTCATCTACACACTACATAAATCTTACAAACGACAGCACATGTCAGTCAGGTATTTCATTCACAGTGATAAAGAGACCTGTATCTTATACATGTTACTACACTTGTGAATCTGGTAACTACATGGCATTACATATATATGGTAAATATCATATTTGAAAAGCTTATAACAAAATTATTTTAAAATCAATACTCTATAATTAGTCAATACGATTATAATTTACAATATTTGTTGATCTCTTCTTGCGCTGTGTCAACGAAGAAGATTTAATGAGGCTGCTGCACCTCCCCATCTAGGTTTTGACTTTTTCTAATCACTATGGAAAACCTTTTTGATTAATATACATACGTTCAAAATAAATTTCCTTTAAACCTTTCTGTCTTTCGAAAATATTTGAGAACGTGACATTACTTACTTGAGCTGATCAAGGTTACATCACGCTTACCTGGTCTTATTCTCCTTTTAGGAGTCTCCGTGTAATATTTCTTCTGTTTATGTTTCCCCTAGTTTGATTGAGTTTGGATAATGATTATTTTGATATATTGGTAGTTGGTTGTGTTTAATATAGACCACACTGATCGCAGCAGGCAGATCTCATTTGATTATATGCATTTTAGTTTCCATTGTGTGAATAGATCGTTTCAGTTAAGCAAATTAGTGAGACACATCCGTGTTGTGAATATGATTTTCCGCGTATCCGTAATCATATATTGTATGCCTGCTTTTCATATTGACTTCTTCTTTCACATACCGTATTTCCTTGTCATGCCTTTGGCATATTACGGGTTTTCTTCGTAACAGGTCTGATTTTATGAGAATAAAAATATGCTCCTTTTTATACATGCACATATTAACTGTAACACTCCATCCATTTACTCATTTGATATACCGATGCCTTCATTGTTACTATCTGTAAAACATTTAATCACCTATTTACAGTTAAATGATTAAAACGTTAACGTGTTGACGCGATGTTATAAACTGTAAATGAAATAATCAGTGCTTTGTTTGTCACGACCTATTCCGATTTCGCCATTAAACAAGCATTAAAATGAAGCACCGAATAAAAGATAGCTGATCCAATAATATTGAAATATCGGTTGGTGTT